GTGATAAGGAAAGATTCAAAACTTTAAAAATTTCATGAATCGGGCATGACATTTAAACCTGGTGACAAAAATGATGATGGTTTGGTTAAATTTAGGTGGACAAGATGGAGGATCTTGATCAAGAAAATGAAACTGCATTGGAGAATGGGATTAAAAATGAGGAAAATACAGAACCAGGTGCTGAATCTGCTGAGAATGCTGATGATCCAAACAAAGACGCAAGTGAAAATGCAGATGGCCAGAATGATGAGAACAAGGAAGACTATGCAATTCCAGATGAGTATAGAATTGGACCGTATCAACCTAATGTTCCTGTTGGTAAGCTTTAAAGACTTTCTTTTTCTTCTTTTTTCTCCCAACAAATTTATTAAAATAAGATTTAAAGTTGTTCTTATGTAAGCTTTGTTAGTATATAAAGTTTTCTTCTCTCCCCGATACTGATTTGTAAATTTACACCAACATATTGTTCTATTTTCCTCTTCCATGTGTCTCCTAATTTTGTATTATGTTACCGTTCCAATATGTTCTCTCTTCTCATGATGATTTCTAAAATTACACATTGCTTTTTGTTTTGTGTTTGTTAATATTTTTGTCTTCCATTTTAAGAGTACAGATAGGTTAGACTTTGAACATCAGTTAAGTAAAAAGAATATTATGCTGTTATTTGTGTTCTTTAGCTTAGGCTGTACTGGACTTTTCACAAATATGTTGTCTGATTCAAATTTTATTGACAGGTAAAAGATTTGAGACTACTAAGTAAAATTTAAATTTACTTAATTTGTAAGAATGTATGTTTGTGTTTCTAGGTATAGACTATGTGATACCTAAAACAGGGTTTTACTGTAAGCTGTGTTCACTCTTTTATACAAATGAAGAAGTTGCAAAGAATACTCATTGCAGCAGCCTTCCTCATTATCAGAAATTAAAGGTAAGGCTGAATATAAGAGGAGATTTATGAAAACAAGTGATTTATGGAAATAAATGAGATACATAAGTAAAATGTGTTTATGTCCTTGGACCCATCATAATGCTTTATCTCAAAGATGTTTTTCCTTAATTGCCTGGGCTTTAAGGAATTTAATGGGTTCTCCTAACTTTTGAACCTCTTTTCACTCAAAATCAGATTCAGTAGTATAGACCCATAATTCTAAAACTTAGGAGATAGAATCAGGCGGATCAGTGCTATCCTTAGCTGTGTATTGAATGGGGAAGAAAGAAAGGTGATAATTTCTAACCCTATTTTTTTTACAATATAACTTATCCAAGTATTTTCAAACTAATTTCTCAAATTTCAAAGAAACTAGAGGTCCAAACATAAAATAGAATAGTCAAAAGTTTTTAGTTTGTTGAGTGCCAAGTCCCTGATTTATTTTAGAGACTGAGTCTCCCTAGTTCATATTGCTTAGACTTGGGATCCTTCTATGTCAGCCTCCCTAAGTATTGGGATAACTATGAGTCACCTTTAAGAATTGTTATTCTAATGTTATGAATGATGTTCTCGCTTTTATAACCAACAGATTGTTTATTTCTACATCATAGCATAAATGAGTAAACCTCAACGAGAAACAAGAACAAATTCCTACTGTGCTTTTTATTTTTAGTTAGGACCCTCTTTAAGGTCTCAATATTAAGTAGTACAAGGAAACTTGAAAGTAGTACTTAATTCAGTTGTAAGTGATTTGGTTTTTTACATTCCTTCATTTATAACGAATAGTGGCTACTTGTTGAATATTCCTAATCTGACAGTTACATCTGGTCCATTAGCAATAAAAATTGTAGTACCAGAATGCTGATACTCCTAAAAATATTGTGTGGGGGCTTGGGAGATAGCTCAGTGGTAAAACTGCTTTTTGTGAAAGCAAGAGGACTGCTCCCCAGAAAAATGCCAGGCTGGGGAGGGGTTAGACTGTAATTCTAGCTATCTAAGGTGAATATAGAGCAGGCTGGCTGGTGAAACCAGCTTTATCAGCAAGGTCTGGGTTTGATTGAGAGACCCTGCTTCAATGATTAAGATTGAAAGGCAATCAAGGAGGATTCCCGATATCAGTCTTGGGCTTCAGCATGTGTTTTTACCCATTTACACATTCAAGGAAGAAAAAATGAAATTACCTCTGGGGATAGAGGTGCAGCTCAGTGGCAGATTGGTAGCGGTGTAAGGTCCTAGCTTTGATTCAGTATGAAAAAAGGGTAGAATTGTTATCTTTTGACTGTTTCATGAGACCTCATCCAAGTCTAAACTCCCTAATACTTCAAATCCCAAATTTTTTTAAACAAGAGAAACTCAACCTGTATAGCATTCAGTTATCTCAGCACATTGTTGACTGGTGGATAAAAAAAATAATTTTAGTTCTTGCTCATATTATTTCTGTTGTTTGCAAATTACAATCTGTATGTCTCTTACCATTATGGATATAAGAAAAGAATGGTGGTCATTTTCATTGCTAACAGCTATTTTGGGAAGAGGCTGAGTATAGCTTCATTCATACTAAAAATGCACTGTTTGGATTTTAGGCCATGTGGGGTCAAAACCATGCTTATTACCTGGAAGGGTGTGCTTTATGGCTAAATACTTAGAGCAAAGATGAATGAGCTGCATTTAAAAAGTATTTAGGGAGTTTATGTTGCTCAAATGATAAATTGACAGTTTTCTTAACTAGATGTTTTATGTTTTTTTTCCTTTTTTTGTTTGTTTGTTTTCATTTTCTTTTTAAGGATATAATGGCTTTTAACCCTCTCATCAGTCTGAAATAACCAGTACTGATATATTTTAACCAGAAGTAAAGAAACAGAAATGCTTTTTAAATATCTTTCATATTCCCTTAGAATCCTAATAGATCTATATCTAGAAATTATATATTGGAGATCATAGGTGGAAGGAGTCTCCAAGCTATACTTTGTAGCCCAGCCACCTGCTGTTTATAAATGTTTTATTAGAGCACAGCCGGTCATAGCCATGGTCTTTCAAAGTATGTCTATGGCTCTCTTAGGTCAGTGAAATTGTTACAACAAAGATCTAATCTAGCTATTTCTTATATAATCGAATTCTTATGTTTTCTTATTTATAAACGTTAGGGTTAATTGCACATTAAAATATCCATTTTCCACATTTGCCATTTTTTTCATGCTTTATTGTTGTGTCCTGAGCCAGTTTAGTTTTCTATGCTAAGATTAACTCATTCATAAGATATTAAGACATTAGTATAAGTCCCTAAGCTTGAACTGAATATTTTATAACTAACTAATATATACTAGGTGTCTCAACGGTTACTTAGTCCTTGTAATTCTTTTTTTTCCCCTCAGAAATTTCTGAATAAATTGGCAGAAGAACGGAGACAGAAGAAGGAAACTTAAGATGTACAAGAAGCTTAATTATTTCACAAGAAAACAAAATGGTTCTTTGATTTTAATGTTAACCTTTTTTAAACACAATACTGATAGTTAGAAAACTATTGTACTCTTTTGTTTTAGTGGAAAAATAATAGATGTCTGTTCATGTGTTTAAGTGTTATAGCAGAAAGTACACATACGGTTAAGTTAATGGAAAAGTATTTGTTTCATCAGAATGGCAACAGACAAAAGTACTTCGTAGAGATTGACTATTGTAAACTTACGGAAAACAACTTGCACCAATAAGAGATAACAGAACCATTCGGAAAAATGAAATTTAGTAGTTCAAGGCTTCAAACAAATGTCAACTTTTGATTCCATTCAATAAAGAACAAAACCAATTGTATTTTTTATTACTCTTCATCTGAAACATTCCACATTTTAATCTGAGCCTTGCAGACTTCATTTGACTTTGGAAGCTGTTTTGGTTGCGTTTCCTTTTTAGAGAGCTTCATTCATGTGAAATTGGCAATTCGAATGCAAGTGCAGTTTTCTTTAATGTCATGCTGTTTAGATGATAAGAAATTAAGTAATTGGCTTTAGATTTGTAATTTTTTTTCCCTGAGTTCCTGCTAGGTTTTGTATTCTAGTAGTCGAATGTTATTTCAGTGAAATGTAAAAATACTCCCGTTCTCTTTGACCAGTATTAATTTCTTGAGAACCTATTGCTTGTCACTTGAATCCTGTAGCTGTCATACATCTCTGGTATAAGCAACATTTGATTTTTGAAGTGTGTAAACCATCTCTATATTTTCAGAATGTGATTTTACATTTCTGCATTTTAAAAACAGTTTGGCCATAATTCTAGACGCACGCTTCTAATTCATGTACCTGCACATGTGACCTTTGTGAGCAGAACTTTGCATGTATAATCTGTGTTTACTTGTAACTCTCTGGTTATATACTGCTTATATCTGTGGATTCAAGTTACTGAAGTAAATACAATAAAAAAAAAAAACTAGGCCATGTTGGTTGGTTGGTTGGTTAAACATGTTTGGAATGTTAACCAAAATATTTGTCAATTGTGACTTTTTCTTTTCACTGATAGGTTTTTGTGCATGCTTTAATGAATTATTCTTAAGTCTAGATTGGGTGTTCTAATAATAACTAAAGATCTCAGTTTAGTTCTGGTGGATTTCTTGTTCTTGTTACATAACTAAACATGTGAGCCCTTTTTGCTCCAGTTGTAAATGCTGGACATAAAGCAATTGCTAAAGTTCATATCCAGAGATGTCCGTGCCTTAACAGAATTGAAAATAAGCACTGGAAAAATTAAGTTTTGTCACTCTTTAAAATCAGGAAGGGATTTTTGATGTGCTTGATAATCTGAAGTCCAAAGAACAGTTTAATTTAAATCAGTGACAAAAACTTTTGAGTATCTTTCAACCTTTCCAGCTCAGTTATATTAAAAGGGTATTTCAAGTATATTGTTGGGTAAAAATTTTTGTCTCCCCCTCAGTAACATGCACAAAAAATCCTTGTCAATTTTTTCGATTTAATTTTAACTGTTACTAACTATTCACTTTTGTTAATTCCCATTTTTGTTTTTTGTTTCTTAAATCTAACAGCAGTTATAAAAACAGTGTGGACCGGCCAGACATGGTAGCACATACCTTTAATCCCAGAACTTGGAGGCAGCAGGCAAGGTTGCCTCTGTGTTGGAAGCCTGGTCTTCCTGAAAGTTGCAGGCCATTCAAGGCTATGACAGAAGGTTGTCTCAAAAGGGAAACAAGCAAAAGAACAACATTGTAAACATAAATGGAAACACATCTCTCAGCAGTGATAGCTTAGTTTTCAAGTCCCGCTGTGGAGTTGGTGACTTGAAGAATACTTTAAACCATTTAGCTTGATTTGTGACATTAAGTCAGATTTTTTCCCCCCAGGTATGACTTTCTTTTTTTACTTTTCAGATGCCTATAGATGTAGTTATTTCATATTGATAGAGTGCTTACCTAGCATTCACAAAGTCTGGCCCCATAAACCAGGAGTGAAAGCATATACTTTTAATCCTAGAACTCAGGACATATAAACAGGATCAGAAGTCAAGGTCATCCCCAGCAACATGGATAGTTTCAGAGTTCAGTCTGGGATAGCGACCCTGTTTTACCCTATGATTGGGCTTGAATTTGGGATCCGGCCAAACCTGTGTATCAAATCACATCCTTGCTCCCTTCAGGTCTAGTTTATGGCAAACCTGTAAGAAAAATGTTGTTTTGTTTTTTAATATACCTGCTATAAAGTTGAACATGCATCCTTGCTATTTCAATCTTATTCTAGAAACGTGAGTAAATGTTTTAGAGATACCCTGAGTTTATTTTACAATCATTTTTCCTCGTTGCTAGTAAGTTTTAAATTCTGCTAGTGTTACTTTGCATATCCCAGAAGTAATTTTCATTTTATTGTGTACCTCTCAGGTACTCGGAGTGCCAAAAGTTAGTTTTAATTTGAGCCCATCCTGAGCAGTGTAGGTGGTCTAGGTGAGGGGAAACGGGAAGATGAATTTCTAGCTGTAGCGTATGCTATCAACACTTAATTGGTTAGATTCTGTGAAAGTTTTTTCTTTTCTTTTTAAATCTTGTATGACTACACAGACACAAGTATCTTTGTGGAGATCAGAGGAAAACTTTCTGGGGTCATTTGTCTCCTACTGCCAGATCCCCAGACCAAACTCAAGTTGTTTTCAGGCTTATGTCAAGCACATTTATTTACCCACTGAACCATACCTGTGACACCCTCCCCCCAACAAAAAAGAAAAAACAAGGTCTCACAATGTAGCTGAGGTTGTCTTCAAAACTCAGCAATGTAGACTAGGCTGGCTTCCAATTCCCAGAGATCCACCTCTCTAATCCCAAGTACTGGGATTAGAGGTGTGTACCGTTACACCTAGCTTTCTCTACAAACTTGTTTGTTTTTGAAACAAACTCAGAGATAACCTTCCTTTGTCCCCTTTGTTCATGTCTTCCTTTGTTCATGTTCAATGAAAAGCATGAACCACCACTACCAGGCCTTCCTCTAAGAATTTTTAAGGTCATTATCCAGTATCTGAATTATCTAGGAGGGGAAGATTTCCTTTCTACCACCACTCCTGCTTTCACATACACTTTTCTTACTGAGTAGTTGTTGCAATGTTAGGTATTCAACTAAAGGACATGTACATGCTGAGTATAATAAGTCTTCAACCCCTGAGCCATATCCTCAACCTGTGGAATGTCGTCAATGTCCCATCTGCCCATTCCACCCCTACCCCACAGTTTTGGAAGTTAAAAAATGGGCAACCAAGGTGGGTGTGGTGGCACACTAATTCTAACTCTAGGAGGCAGAGGCAGGGGAATCTTTGAAGTCACCCTGGTCTAGAGAGCCAGTTCCTGGTGTTCGAGGACTAAACAGAAACTTAGGGAATGGGACAGAACTGAAATCCTAGCACTTAGGAGGAAGGTAAGGAGTTTTAGACTGGTGACTGGCTTGAACAACATAATGCCCTCCCTTCATTTAGAATCCCCCATAGCTGGAAATGTATTGAGATAACTAGCTGAGTTTAATCACTATAGTGTAGGAGAGCTAACCCAGGACTTTGTACATGCTGGGTAGGCAAGTGTTATAGCACTGAGCTATTAACCCTTTGAGGATTGTTTTGTAGTATTTCTTTAATGAAAGATGACACATTACCAAAAATATGAGAGTTCAAACTTACTATTTGGTGGGAAAAAATGCAAATGTTGCATTCTAGTGATTAAAGGATTCTTTTTTTTAAAGCATGGTATCAAACTACATGATAATATCCATGACTCTTCAAAACTTTCAGGAGCAGAAAGATAACTCATTTGTGAAAAGGGTGGTGGAATGATTTGTGATGTTGGGGATTGAGTCCATTCCTCCAAGTTACAATTATTGGGACAAGATGCTGTTGCCACTGCTTATCAAAAGTAAGGCCAGTTCCTGTTTGCTCAACTTTGTCAAAATTAAATCAGAAGTGAGCATTCTCATTGGTTATTTGATTTGAAGCAGGGGTACTGTAGTGTTCATGTTGTAGTTCAAACTACTCAGGAGTGCCTCGAGTTACAGATGACAATAGCACAGTGAGAAACCATTTAAATGGAATATCTTTGCACCCTAAATTAGATTTGACTATAAATGAGTTACCAACTGCTACCTGCCAACTTCTATATTGACCTCTATCTTAAGTGGGGTTACCTGCCCTATAAAAAAAATATTTAGGGGTTGGAGAGTTGATTGGGGGTTAAGAGCACTTTGTGCTCTTCCAGAGGTCCTGAGTTCAATTTCCAGCAACCACATGGTTACTCACAACCATCTTCAATAAGATCTATGCTCTTTTCTGGCCTGCAGGCATACTTGCCGGCAGAACACTGTGTAATAAATTTTTAAAAAATAAATCTTTAGGGCTGTAAGTAGAGAGCTGTTAAAACCCTTGCGTAGCATGCCCAAGGCACTTCTGTCCTCAGCTCTAAGGAACCTGTTTGTGTCTCTGACAGCCACCTAATTATAATGCCGTGCAAACCCGTGGAATAGATTGCCTTCAGATATTAATGTAATGACCTATGAGCCTAAACATAACTCCTTATTTTCTGGTTTGCCTGATGCTTGTATTGGGTGTATCCCATCTTTAAGCTCCTGCTGAGCTGTAGAAAGCCAATTCAAGCTGGAGAAGTTAATTGTTCTGTCTTTACAATATGGCACATATCATTACTCTATTCCCCTATGCACACTATTTTCCAAATCTCGTATTCAAACTATATAGAAATAACTTTTTAAGTTGGTCTGGACTGGCTTCAACTCAGAGACCTGCCTGCTTCTATCTCTTGAGTGCTGGGATTGAAGGTATGTTGACACCATGATGGGCTTTTTAAAAAGGGGGTATAGATGTGCACATCTGTATATAGCTGAGTATGATAAACTAATCTGAAATTCTGTTCCTCTTGCTTCTAACCTCCAAGCGCTGGTGTGCGTGCACCATGCCCAGTTTTATTTAGTGCTGGAGATCAAACTCAGGGTTTAGAGCATGGTAGACAGCTCAACTAAGCTACATCCTCAAGCCTTTCCCCCTCTTCCCCCAATGCCAAGTCTGTCATGTACCTCTGCTTCTGAATGCTGGAATTCTAGACAAAGCATGCTCAGATTAGGAGTTTCTGTAAAATGCTGGGGATTTAATGTAGGAGGCCTTTTCATGTCTTAGGGACACATTCTACCACTAAGCTATACTCCTAGCCCGGGTTTTTGGTTTGAGACGGGTCTTTCTGAATTGTCAAGAAGACCTTGAAGTTGGAATCATCCTACCTAAACTTCCCTAGTACTCATCCTCCCCACCCGATCAATATTAGATATTGAACTCCAGGCCTCATGTGCCTGTATTCCAAACAACTCATAGCTTTTTATTTTGGAACAAGGTCTTTAAATTGTTAGGGTTGGCCCTGCAATTGCAGTGTAGCCCAAGTAGGCTTGAGTTTTTTGTTGGGTTGGGTTTGGTTTGGGTTTTGGTTTTTTGAGAAAGGGTTTTTCTGCGTATCCCTGGCTATCCTGGAACTTATTCTGTAAACTATGCTGGCCTCAGTCTCACAGAGATCCGCCTATCTCTTCCTCCTAAGTGCTGGGATTAAAGATACACTCCATCACCACATTGTTTTGTTCCTGAGTAGCTGGGATTGCAGACGTATGTGCTATTAGATCTGGCTTTTATCTAATTTTTAGGAGTGTTTGGGTTGGCCAAATGTATGGTACCTCTTGCCTAGAATCTTAAACTATGGATACTGAGACAGAAGGGTTACTAGGAGTTCAAAGTGAGTATGGTTACAGGGTAAAACCCTGTCTTGGGAGGCTGGGGGATGGACTAGAAAAATAGCTCAGGTTCACAATAGTATATACTGCTCTTGGAAGAGGATCTATAGTCAGGTCCCAGCATTCAGGTGGAGGCTCACAACCACATTTTAAATCCTACTCAAAGCACCCACACACATGGCATACGTTTAGACATACATGTACATTAATTAAAAATCTTTTCAATGGTAGGAGAGATGACTCAGCAGTTAAGAGCATTGCCTGCTTTTCCAAAGGTCCTGAGTTCAATTCCCAGCAACCACATGGTGGCTCACAACCATCTGTAATGAGGTCTGGTGCCCTCTTCTGACCTGCAGGCATACACACAACATTGTATACATAATAAATATTTTTTTAAAATCTTTTAAAAGTGTTGAGGTCAATTACAGAATATGTAAACACATCTTGACTTCTGTCCTACCTCAGACTATTTCCCAAGTTCCTCTCCAATGCTGCTTGGTTTTTGAGGCTCAGATTTACAACAGACTTGGATTTGTTTGTTTGTTTTAGGTTTTTTTTTCTGGTTTTTTGAGAAGGCTAATTTCCTGGGGGCCATGGTTATAGTTGTGTAACACCCCAACTGGTTATCCTTTGAATAAATCATACAGTCTCTTCAGCAGCAGCAAAGTCAAACCTTTCCTTCCAATTGGCTATAATTGTGGGGCTTCAGCTTAGTGGTTTGTGCACTTTCCTTGCAGATGAGAGACTACTATGAAAAAAGTTTAGTATACAGTTCTGTAAACTGTAAGTGAAGTAGTTTAACCATGTTAGACCACTCATGTTGATTTCTTTGGGGTTTTGAACTATCCAGAAATAAATACTGAGGAGTAAACCCCTTGTCACCAAAATTGGCCCAGGGTAAAAATGCTGCCTGAGGTGAAGACAAAAGGAATGTCACTGATGCCAAGACCTTTGAGTAATATAGAAAGAGATGAAACCATGGATCTGGTTGCAACTGTTTGGAAAAAAAAAAAAAAAGAATGTGGTTGTTTCCGTGGATATTACGAGTATGTGGTATTTTTTTTGAGGATTCAAATTTAATTTCCAGGTTCAATTTTCCTATATCAGAGTAAAGACATTTAATGGGGCTTATATGTCATCTTTCATATTATACCCAGTTTTCCACAACATCCAGATAGTTTTTCTTGCTTAGTGTCATTGACAGAACTTAAGAGCTTGCCAATGATGAAAGCAAGGAAATGTGGCTAAGAACACATAGGCCAGTACACTGAAGGTAGTTTTAAGCTTCAAAGGTTTGGGGTTGGTTTTGTTTGCTATGGCATGTGTAGAGGTCAGAGACAAGTTGTGGAGTTGGTGCTTTCTACCTTAATGTGTGAATCTTGGGAATGGAACTCCCATCACAAAGCTCGCTTTACCCACTGAAACACCTTGCTGACCTTTTTTCTTTTCTTTGGACAAAGTCTCAAGTAGCAATGATGGTCCTGTATTCCTGCTTCTTACATCTCAAACGTGATGGAATTACTGTTGTGGGAATTCTTGCCTTAGTTTTGTCTGAGTTTGAGCAGTTTCCTGTCTTGGTTTCAAAGAGGCTCTGCAGTCTGCCTAGGAACCACCTGCTGTTATTTTGAGAGTGTGTGAAGGCCTGTCTTTAAAGTGTGTGAGAACGAGTGCTTGTGGATCAGCTATATACCTCTGCTTTTGCTTTTTGTTTTTGTCAGGGTCTCAGTATGACACGATTGCGTCTTCTTAGCGTGACACAGTGTGTTATTTTTAGTATGTATATCAGAGTAGATTATTTGAATGATGCTTTTTAGTATATATACTTAAGTTCACATATGCATACCTTAGTTCCCAGCTCCCATATCCACAGAATCCCATCATTCTGGTGAGGCGGGCGCGTGAGAAGTCATACTCGCATAAAGAGAAACCAAGAGACCTAGAAAACCCCAAGGTGAGTCTCTGCTGAGTACCTGAAAGGCCTTTGGAAGGCCTTTGCTCTTGAATGGGAGCACAACTCAGACCAGTCGCATTCTCTCTTGCGCACTCTGGTGGCCTGGTTGGGAAGAGAGGACAGAACGAGTGGGCGGGGCCGGCGGTGACGGAAGTGAAGTCACTTCCGGGCTGGGGTGTTTGTTTGGACTGGAGAAGGGAGGCGGCGGGCGAAGCGCACGTCGAGCGGGGGAGCGGCGCTGCCTGTGGAGATCCGCGGAGGCCGACAGGATTCGTTGGCTGCCGTCCCCGCTGCCGTGCACTGGGTGAGGGGTCCCCTCAGACCGAGCTTTGTGAGGGCGCGGCGACCCCGACGGTCGAGAGGCCACTCTTGGCAAGGCCGAGGGAGGCAAAAAGGCCGCTCAGACTGTGCGCCTCCGAGACCAGTTTGACCTCGGTTGTTTCTGGTCCATTTCCGCCGAGTCTGAGGGATAAGCCGGGGCAGGCTCCATCTATCTCTCCGAAATGGCCTCAGCTCGTTTTTCTGTTCATTTTTCTCATTTCATTATTTATGATTTCGACCGCACAGTCGTCTGTCCGGGTCTTTTGTGGCGCGTGAGTGTTGCCGGGATAGCACTTTGTTGCGTTCCTCAATCCTCGGTCTTTTTTTTAACCTATCCAGTACCTTTTCCCTGTGCCCCCCCCCCTCCCTTCGCCGCTTGAGCAACAAAGCTCATTGTTTCTACCCACTTTACGCCTGCGCGTCGCCACGCGCAGCCTCTTCTACTGCGCCTGCGCGTTTCTGCCGAGCTGGGGTTTGGGGAGGAAAGGGGCCAAGGGACTGGCAGGCTGATGGTGTCCCAGGGGAGCACTCTGTAACGGTCGAACGGCCTGTATCTTTCAACCTCTTCCATTTCTTCACCACCCTTACCCCTTTATTCTAAGCTTTATTATGTGCTGCCGATAGGGCCTTTGTTTGGGGTACTGATAGATAAAAGGCCCGTTCAATTCATATTATTGGGTACTGGCCCCCTTACCTTTCGGTACCACTACTACCTCAACGATAGGAAGGGAGTATTAGCACTTCTAGTGAAGTTAACTTCTAAAAACGTTTTTGCAGTAGCCCGCGATTATTTTCTAATAGGTGCTAAAGGCTTGCTTTCCCTACTTTTGCAGCCCAAAGCCCTAGAAGCAATTTGGTTTTCAGTTTGCTGACAGCCTTTTACGCTCATTTCAGGAAATGCTCATTTTGCGCGTGCTGGCTGTGCATTTCTTTTTTCACGGTGGCACATTTTTTACGTTTCATTTAGTCGTTGATAGGTGTTGGTTCATTTAAGTAATGTCTGAAATTTGAGCTGTAGATCGTTTCAACTAGGAAGAGAAACTATGCAAGAACTTTAATAAGATCCAGCTCTTGCTGTTCTGTGACTCTGTAAATGACAGGATATTGAACACAGTCTCTGTGTTAATGACCTTGAACAAAAACCATTCTCACAAGTATGTATCAAAAGACAGGTAACTTTCAAAAAATATACCCTATTTATCTTCCTTTAGGGGATGGGGGGAATGGCGATTCACTGTAATGGTTAAAGGATGTGCATATTGGTCCTTGCGAACTCAAACTGAGGTAGGTAATTTCTACCCTCTTTGGGACAGAGTAAGTTTATAGTGGGGTTTTCCTCCAATAAGTAAATCTTAATTCAGGTTTATCACTTTATGACCCTACATAGTGATGCCTTCATTTTAATGACACTTATAAAATGTCCACTGTTAGAGCAATTTTATTGTGGAAGATTGAAGGTAGTATTTAACAACCTTTTGCACTTTCACCCCTTTTTATAATTTATAAAGTATTTTCATATTCATCATGACAATATGTGAAATAGAGCAGGTTTTTTCTTACATAACTTGAAGTTGAGAAAACAGGATCTTGGCAGATATTTAGCAAGTACATATCATTTAATTATCCCAATTGTTGTTCTAAGTACTTTTGTAAGTATTAGTTATTTAAACTAGATGTAGTGGCTGGACTCTGAAACGCAGCATTCCTGTGACTATTGAAAACTTGGAGTATAGGGCTTTCAGAAGACAGATCTCTTAAGTTCAAGACCAACCATAGCTACATAGTAAAAACCAGTATGGGCGGGGAGACTTGAAATATGACAGATACAAAAAAAGTACTAAAAGAACCAAAAATAGAAATTTTAATTAAAAAGGCTTTAATTGATACCATTGTAGATGATCATCTGCCTAAAGGGTTTGAGTTATGTCTTTTTTTTAAAAAAATTTATTTATTCAATATATATACAATGTTCTGTCTGCAAATGTGCCTGCAGGCCAGAAGAGGGCACCAGATCTCACTACAGATGGTTGTGGGAATTGAACTCAGGACCTTTGGAAGAGCAGGCAGTGCTCTTCACCACTGAGCCATCTCTCCAGCCCTAGAGTTATGTCTTACATTTTAACACCTGGTTGCATAAATTAGTGTTTCCGATATATTTGAGCTTTTTACTCAAATGATGGAGAATGGTGAGCCATCCTTACTCTTACTAAATCGGCCTTAGAACATTAGAGATTAGTGTTACATCACAGGCTTAGAGTTTGGTTTTTTGTTGTTTGTAGTGTAACAACCAACATCTCTAGCCCTTTGAAGCAGAGTCTTGATAAATCAACCAGACTTCGTACCCCTCTGCTTCCCAAGTTGCGAGGATTCCTGCCTTGTGCCACCTTGATTAGGATTTTTCTATAACATTGTTTCATTCCTACAGGTAGAAGACCTGTGATTGTTTTACCTTGTACCTTGCTTTTGATGCTTAATTTTTCTAAATGATTAACTGGTTGTGGTTAGGTCTGGCTTATAATTCTAGCATTTAGGAGATTGAAGCTGGCCTGTATTATAAATGTATAAAAAATTAAAAGCAGAGGCAGATGGATTCTATGAATTTGAGAACAGACTGGTCTATAAGTTCAGGCAAGCCAGGACCATATACTGAGACTCTGTCTATAAATAAGTAAACACCAGTGCTGGGTGGCTGTAATCCCAGCACTCGGGAGGTAAAGGCAGAGACATCGGGTCCAGGTGTTCAAGGCCACTCTTCACTTATAAGACCCCGTCTCAGATAAACAAAAATCAAAAAACAAACAACAAAAAATGGAGCTGGATAGGTGGCTTAGCAGTTAAGAAAAGTGCTTGTTTAAATGTTGCCCCTTACAGAGGACCCTGAT